TGACATCAGGCGATTGGCATATCGTCAGGGATAGTGCAAAGGCGCGTATCTTCACGAGAGAAAATTTGACAGGTGCTAAATGAAGAGGGCTGGTTACTAATTATTTTTGTAATTTAAAATAAAAACAAAATACTTGATAAATGAACGCGGTTTATTTTAGTACAGGCAAGAGACGAAAGGTACAGAGACAATTTTGACAGCAGTGAAATTTATACAATGACTTAAAAATTACATAAATTCAGCCTAGTTTAAAATCTATTTATTGTAATATACTGAAATCAAAAAACGACTAAAAATATAAAGTATTCAACAGCATGAGAGGTTTTAAACGTTACTTTTTTATGTAAATTGCTACGACTTATTAATTTATGTTATTTACGAACTGACAGCAATACATTCCAGTAAATCAGGCCAATTTTTTTTACTTACACCAATTAACGGTTGAGGGTAATAATAATGTGCCAGACAACCACAAACCAACAATGGCTACGACTACCAGAGCAAAGGAATGAACACCAGGGCACTTCCCAGAACACTTAGACCAGAACCAATTTAGAAAAGTTCATTTCCCAATTTCATCCTTCCTGGAATCGAACCCGGGACCTCCTGATCATGCGCCCAAAGTTTGAGCTGTTGGGCCACCAAAGTCATCAAAATGGGCGAGGGCGCGAAGTGGTCATCGTCAAATGCGATTAATTTTAACGGCGTTAAATTCTGGAGCATGATCCGTACTGTAATTTCTTCCTCATTTATTTAGGAACGTGAAGCAATGGAACGCGAATACGCGGCGGCGTGTCGACGACTGTCCGGCGACTGGAGAGCCTTAGAAAGAGGCTGGGCGCACAGACGGAGAGCTTTAAGATATAGACAAAAAGAGCTCACCGCACGGATACAACGGTTGACTGCATTGAAGGATACACATCAGAGCTGTGTGAGTATATCTGACTTTATCAACATAGTGTTGTATTTGTTGGCTATATGTGGTGTTGTATAGGAATTAAAGGTCCGAAAGTCCTAAAACGTCGATAGAGCTGAATGCAAGGATACAACAGTTGACCGCATTGAAGGATACACTTCAGAATTATGTAAGTATATCTAGACTACTACAATGTTTGTTAAGTATGGCGTTATACAGGAATTAAACGTAAGCACATCACATACGGGGAGTGTCAAGACATAGACCTAAAGGACAGGCTGCAATAATAATAATAAACTCATTATTTGATTTTTAATTCGGGACTTTGCCTTCGAGACCATGGACGTTGCAATACATCCGAAAGTCCTTTCGAGACCACGAACGTTGTAATACGTCCGAAACGTCGAGGTAATTAAAATATTTTTTATACATGACTAAGTCCCCTATTAAAAATCAAATAATGTGTGAAAATCGTGAAAATAATAAACCCATTTATTTGTCTTGAATACAGTGATACATTTTATAATAAACTCGACTACGGTAGTATTAGCAAGACAAAACGGGTTATGACTCAGCAATTGCGGGAACCCAAGGTCTCCGTTATTCTTCCATAACCTTTTACTTAAAGTATTATTACTACTATCATACTGCAGTTATTATATTGAAAGATACATATCAGAGCTGTGTCCGGTTTTAATAACAAAAGGCTATAAATAAGGTCGTCATATAGTTGGAAAGCGTTATAACAGCGTTAGTGCTGAATGCCAGGATACAGTTTACTACATTGTAGGATACGCACCAGATCCATGTCAGTATGACTGGCTTCATGAATAGTGATACATGTATTGTTTAACGTGTGGTATTAAATAATAATCGAAGGTATTAACGTAGTCGGAGACGTGAGTTACGTATAGAAGAAGCTAACTGAGCGGATTGCCAGAAATGAGGAATACACATTATAATGGGTACTTGTACCATACCTATATCCAGCTAAATTAATAAAAAAAATGTTTTAGCTATTATGGAGTGTTACTTAGTAAATGAAATTAGATACATAGACGAAGAGGGTGATGATATATTTACATTGAGCTCACAACACGAAAGCAATTGTCTCCATTGATACACATGAGAATCATGGAAGTATATCTAGCTTAATTAATAATATTAAAATAGAATTTCGTTTAAAAGCTTATAAAACTACCCTCATGCATAAAAGTATTTTTACAATTGCACCAAAAATATAGTACTAAGGTTTGAAAAAAACTTTATTGTAATATTATACAGTGTCTGAATTTTTGAATGACAACTCTCTAACTTCATTCAGTCCAATTTTCGACATTAATTTTATATTTATACTGACGTTTTTAAATTATTATCATTGACTGTAATCGCGTTTAAATTACTGACTTACTTACTAAATCCATGTGTGCAACCCATGCGATATTATTAAAAAAACACGTTACACCTAGTTTAGTCTGTTGAAGCGCATATGAATAAATGTACGAACAACGGCACACCAGACTACACATTTTTGTTCGAAAATCGCCTCCAGTGCAACGGAACAAGATATGTCAATGTGTAGCTTAATGTGCTGGCGTGTGTACAATAAAACTTCAATATATTTGAGTAGCTAATCTTTGACCGGACACAGTGACACTGCTGATTTTGTTATATGTCAACTTCTGTGCAACCTGTGTTTCCATAAATAAATTAATTATGACTGCAACAACGACGTTTATTACCTATTGTGTATTATTACTTAGTAATTGAAATTAGGCACACAGAACAAAGAGCTCGCTACACGGATACAACTGTTGACTACATTGAAGCATACACAATAAGGCTGTGTCGGTATAGCTGTCTATATTAACAGAGTATAATGTTTATAGCTTATCGCGTTGTGTCATATAGCAAACGAGATAATGTAGTCGGAGACGGTTAAAATGTAGAAGAAGCTCACTATACAACTACAACGTTTGATTAATTAAAGGATACACATTAGAATTGTGTAAGGATACGCATCAGAATTGTGTGAGTATATCTGCCTTAATTATGATACGGTCATGTTTTTAGTACTCTAGGACTGAGCTTTTTGGTGCTGGAAGACATCGTGAGGAAACCGCCATACATCTTCAAAGCAATTTAATGATGTGTATGAAGTTTTGGCGAAAGAAAGAGCTTGGCTGTGCTCTTTCATTATGAGAGGAGGCCTGTGAGTCCAATAATGAAATCATATAGTGTAACCATTATTCGCTTATTTGGTGCTACATTGATGTAATTGTAATTTTGGCAAATTTGGATAAAGGATGTTAATATGTAATTAATTAAGTCTTAATTCAATTATGCCAAAATTGCAATTAAGTCAATGTTGCAGTAAATGAGCGTATTGTTTACCCAATGGTGCTGGCATGTTCAATAATGACAAAATAAATAAATACGCCCATGTGTGTGCCAGATTCCGCCGAATTGAAGGATTTTTTTTCTAAGTTTTCGATCTTTGTATTAATAATTAAACTAAAATTACATAAATAATTATGAGTATCTCGAGAATCCAGATGAATAACCCCATTAATGATAAACTGCTGAGATCGACAAACAACACGCAAACAAGTTCAATGTTATTATGTTTTTTCTATCAATAAAATACATTATCGGGAAGATTACGTCATCACCCACATCCACCTGCCAGAAGAAAGCGTTATCATTATGATAAATTTCGCAGTGTATTAAATGAAAAATAAAGCTTAAAGTAAATGAATTAGAGCATAAAGTATGTTCTCTATTTGTGTCACAAAAGTATAAATGACCAGATCTGGTCTCAAACTGCGAAATTCCTTGTAATATGAGTACCAGAGCAACGAAATTAATTCCGAGGCACTACTTATTTTATTTCCAAATTGATCCCACCGGGAATAGAAGACATTCTCGTCAAGCTAGTACAGTGTAATGTGATTTATGTTAAAAGGAATAGTAATTTATTTATGAAAAATAGTGACAGACATAACATTAATACGAGGAATAGAAATAAACTAGCTTTTCTTGATAGTCGTCTTCACAAAGTCAAAAAATCATTTAAGGGGCAATGTATACGCTTCTATAACAAGATTCCGGTTGATATACAAAATTTACCTTTCACGAGGTTTAAAACTATAGTGAAACAAAAACTTTATACTATACAACTTCTGCGTACTTGGATGACAAAAATCCGTGGTAGTAACCCGTTTAGCTCATGGAGGTAGTAGTTTCAATTAAAAAACAAAAAAAAATATTGTAAATGTTATTTACAAAGAGCAACCCCTAGAGTTTCTTGCTCATTCTTCTCAGGGGAATCTGCCTTAGGAATGAGCGGTAGAGTTTAACCATTGTGACGATTTCAGGTGTAATAATGCTTACCTATGAAATAAAGATTATTTTGAATTTAAATTTGAATTTGAAGTGATAACCATTGGGCCTTCCAGGCATTTATATGATACCTCCTAAGTAACGGGACGAACATGTCGTGCACTTGGTAGTAAGCGACACGCCTGTCCATAACATTTGCAGTGCCACTCAGAGCTTTAAATCACAAAGATCTGAGGAGCACCGTCACTGCGCCCGTCGCTTTGAGATATAAGTTGATAAGTCCTATATACCTGCAAATTAACGCGGCGGTAGAAATAGGTCGTCAAAGTTTGATTCATAAATTAAAATTTATTAAAAGCAGTAAAAGAAAGTAGTACAATTTAATAATAAAACTAACATTCAAATGGGACTACAACTCAGCAACTATAAGAACCTACATTAAAAGTAAAACCCACACACGCTGAGCATAATAGGTAATTTAAACTCAATTACAATTCTAATATATTCAAGAGCGACATTAGCGAAAACATTATCACACTGAATTAATTTTCACACATACAATGAACACTAAATAGGCCAAAAAACAGTATTTAGACAAAAGAATAACTGATATTTTAAAAGCAATGGTTGAAAAGGAACAGTTATAACTCAAAAATTTAAATTTCATGGGAATGTAGTCCCTTTTATTTATTTTTTTAATAATTTGTATATTTTTGTATATTTACTCAGAAAGCAAACTACAATTTATTTTAAGTTAATTTTTTTTTAGTTCTCAAGATTTTTATTGATATAGATTGGTTAAGAGATGATAAAAAATTAAGTAAACATTCACTAAAACGTATGCTAATACAGTGCCTCTTAAAGCATAATTGCCCAAAGTGGTCCCTACCGTCATTTTTTTATGTTAATATAAAAAATACATGTTTTCAGTTATTTTTTTTGGTGGTGTGCGTTGACATTTTTTTATCTTGCCTTAGTGGGCGGTAAGTCAAAAGGTTTGGGAACCTATGTCTTAAAGTAATTCTTAAATGTTGTTATTATAAATATATTTCATGTTTTATATATTTATCTTAGCGAATATATTGTTTATTGTGAAATGTTTAAGAATTTACAAATGTCAATCCGCAACGTAGGCTTCTTCAGGTAGACACAAATATATATCAGCAACAAGCTTCGTCACATAAAAATCAATAATGCATTTCTCCAGTCTTAGTCATTTTTATCTCTAACTATAACAATGAAAAAGGAGCACTCTGAATCTTAGTTGGTTCAAAAGTCGCCCATAACACTGGCAGCATTGCCGCGGTGAATGGCCAACGTAATTTGTTGCACCAAGTAAGGTAGATTGTTAATATTATTACTTAAAAATTAATTTAATGTCACAAAAATGACTCCTTTACCAAAAACAATCGTCTATGACAGTTTCATTTTAAAGTACAGTAGGCGCCATTTAAACCATTTATTTTCACACTCATCACAATAAAATAGTAATTTATAGAAATGAGAAAAAATATTTCTTATACAATTTACAGAAATAATTAAGTAAAATCAAAATTAAAAGGAATGAAGCACGGACACGAGCTCAGGAAAACGTTGGCATAATTTTGCGATGTTTTCAACCCTGATTTACAGCCCGGCCTTAGAAGCTATACGTAGGCACGTCGCACTCACACACAAATCACAAACAAACATCAAATGAAGATATCTGAAATACTAATAATACATGTATGTATGTATATATGATAATAATAATAAATATTTTTGTGCCTAATGTTCCCTGCTGGGAAAACAACATCCGCAGCTTGGTCGTATGAATAGAGTTAAACAAGCGTAGGCCATTGTTTTAGGTGGTGTGAATAGGCATAACTTGAGTTGTACTGTATCCAATAATAAAAAAGAGAATAAGTTCCATAGATACACTAGGGCTTAGCAGTAGTGGTTACGTTACCAACTATCACTTTTTTAAACCGTTTTGAACATGAACATTTAAGGTTTAAGGTATAATTTACAACGAAGAATGTTAACCAATTGAAAATATTGAGTTGCGACCCACAGTACTAAATAATAAAGACAAGGTCTGTTTATTGTTTGGATCATCAATGAACCGCAGACTTTCTCAGCCTAATTACATAACAGCGTCACGGAATCGGTGCCAATGCCCTAGCTGTGCGTACGCGCAATGCAGTGGTACCATGCGTTGCAAAGGACACACTTGAAAGTTGAATAGTAAGAATATAATAATAATGTCTTTATTTAAACACGTAGCCTTACAAATAGAATTAGTGTGGGTTTAAAAAATGCGTAACAGATTATAAAACTACATTGTACTTTAAAGGTTTAGATATAAGGTTAATATTTGGGCGGAAGTTTTATTATTTTGAAAAGGTTCAGGTAATGTTTACGTAAAACAGGAATGACTTGAATGAAGCTTGGGCTCTAAAAAAAGACACTTTCTCTTAGACAGTGTCTCACATTTTTATTCACTTAGTTCTCGCTAGAACTATCCAACATCGCAAACCATCAGTAGCGCATCAACCTTTAATAAACAATACATTTACTGTTTTACATTATTTTTCGCATAGCCCTGTTTACTTTCTGTTTAACTGCGCTCGACTTAACACACATTTTTATTTTGCTCATTTATTCAAATACAAGTAGTTGATAACTCTATGCAATAGCGTCAGTTATTCGTGGAAACGTGCTTCGGTCTACTCAAATATGATTGTAAGTCGTAAATGTACTAATTTTTTAGTCCTTATTCGTATGCGTAGAGCCACCGCTTCGTTGCTGCTGACAAATCTAATGTGGACCGTTACGTCTCGTCATATAATGTTCTTGTTACAGTACAATATGTTGGATGTCATGAAAATTGATAATCGTAATTCCATATTTGAATTGTCAGTTTTTTTTTATTTTGATTTTTTTTTGTGGAGTTCTGAATGTCGAAGATCTATAAGTTACATTTTGTAATTTTTTTACGTTCATATTAACGTAAGCTTGAATAACAGTTTGAGTAGCTTTATTATGTCACTATCTGCGTTTTTCTCTTCCCATTTTCGGAGTCGATTCTCTTAGTTATTTTCCGGATTTTCTCTGATAATAAAATCTAAAACTTTTATCAGCTGGAAAATAGTTGTAAAAATCCAGTCCGCAGTGAAAATTCAACTTAAAAGCGTGAAATTCAGAACTCTATTATTAAATTTTATGTTGCGCCCACCCCGCTAGATCGAGAACGAGGAAGGTCATGCAGGAGCACTGCGCGCCGAGATCGCGGGCAAGCACAATGAGCTCGACGGCTTCATCAGAAGCAGCGTGCGCGAACTGGTCGCGCAGGGATACCAACTTGACGAGGTATGTTTCTTAAAAATCACAATAGACGAAAGCATCTTAACCACGTGAATAACTTATTATAGTAGTAGCACTCTTTATAAAAGAATTCATCCAGGGAAATACTGCCACCTTACATATTTCTGCTTCTATTATTATTTATTTGACGACCTCCGTAGTCGGATGGCTTGTACACCGGTTTTCATGGTACCCGGGATCAGACTCCCGGACAGGTCCTTGTAAAAGACTGAGTTTTCTATATTGTCTCGAGTAATTCGACATTGTTTTGTGGTACAGTCGTTGTCTCCGATTTCCACAAGTGGTTTAGGTACTTACTTTGGCATCAGAACAATATAAGTGATGTTGTCTAATATTTATTTATATTATCTGCAGCCAAGCATTAAAGTGAGCATTACTGCGTTCTGGTTTAGAAGGATAAAGGTGCTGGTGAAATCACAGGCACGCGAGACTTGTTGACTTCTGTCTCATGGTGACACGCATTGTAGCAGTGTCCCTTAGATCTTTGCAGTTGAAAACTCTGAATGGCGCTGGAACTGCCATAGACAGGCGTTCGTTTTATACGTCTCGTTACTTGATGTCATAAAAAAATCTGCTATTTTAATATGACTTCGCACGGTCTGTGATTTCACCGGCCACCTGCGCGACCACGATGGTTACGGACGTGTTTGGACCATACATGACACCGCAGATCCGGGTTCCAGTCGAACTTGCTTGGCGCGGCCTGTATAATCACAGGCCGTGCGAAACCACTTTTAGTCACTCACGTTTTGGCTCCTTGTTTTACATAGTCTACAGTCAAGGGCTTAATGTGTTTACTCTGACATGTCTGCCTCATCATGCCTGTTTCCTTCTGAATAAGGCAGAAATCATGAGCCTCATGCCTAAATGCAATATCTGACATTTTTACCGTAATCGAGTAAGAGGTATGATCTTATTCAGCTTTCAAAAGCGAACACTATCCTCTAATCGTTCGGTATTTCGATGCCTTATTTTCTCAAACTCGTACCTTATAAAGAGTGATTATTCAGAAGAAGGCAAAACTTTCTATTTATTTTAAATTTCTTATCAAGGGTGTTAATTTGAATGCATTACTTTAAGAATAGTTAAAAGCCAGTGTGTGAATATGAAGGAAATATAATGTGAAATTAGCCTGCAAAATTTGTATATACAATCCATTTTTTGCATTTATATAACTTTGTGCTTTAAGACACGAGTTTGAGAACCTTTTACACATTGACTTCCAATTATATGGACGTCGGGTCCGCGCTAAAAAGTGTCCGAACTTATAGGGCGTTAAAATCGTATACAGAGCGTCATTCACGCTTTAGTCTTCGTTTGTTCGACTGACAGCGAAGCAAGCAAAATTAGACAGTACTGCGATGACATTACAATTTAAATTCAACGTTTTAGCTTTTTCATATTCCTTTACATGTCACTACGTTTAAATAGGTTGACTTGGGACATTTTTTTCGTAGTTTTTGTATTAGACCCGACGTCCATTTATTAGTAAGTCAATGCTTTTACATAATGAATATTGTTTCATACATTGATAGATCGAGTTTGACATAAGTTATTGCTCAAGATGTAAAATGTTAAACCGGAAATACGTCGCCCTAAAAAATTAGGCCTTAGGCAAGTTGCGACAGTTAGTCAAAGGATACTTTCGTCTATTGCGTCTTTAATGATCGAATGAGCATTTTTTATTGTTAAATTTTATTAATCGAAGAAATTTAATGTCAAATTGATTACCAACCAATCACGTACCACCGACTGGCTAATCAGCTCTCTAAACTTAAAAGCTTTAAAGTCAGCTTCTTCTTATCATATGGATGGTATAGTCTCGCAGCCTAGAACTATGGGACATGTTGGTAAGCGGTGTAAGGATCTCGCCGATTGTTGCCCAATTGCGATTGTCAACGTGATATTTAAAATTCTTAACATTTTCGAAACCCAAATTGATTTCTAAAAACAAAGCCAAAGGACACAATACGAATTACGTTTAAAATAAAATACATATTCTTATATGTATATAAAATACAAAATACTTTCTCGGGACGATCTAGGTGGTCTAACGGTTTGCACTGAGGAGGCTGGACGAGGAGGTCCCGGGTTCGATATCCGCAGGACCGATTTGAGGCATGATCTTTTCTAAGTGCACTTTCAAAGTAGACATTTGTAGAAACCTCTGCAGCGTTTCTATAAACGTCTACTTTGAAGGCGGCCTTAAAAATCGAATTCAAATTCTTCCCGTACTAATACGGTTCATTTTGCTTGGCTCGAGGGGCAGGGCTTAATTTAATTTTTTTTTTGTTGCAAATGAAATTAATCTAAAAAATGTATATCGTATACTATACGTATTGTATTTAGTTCAGTTGATATAAAAAATAATTGGTATATGTAAACTACTTATCGAATACAGCGGTTTTCTTGTGAAATTTCGAAGTGTTTTTACACCGTGTAGTTATCGGTGTATATCCTCAATAAGACTATATTTTTTCAAAGTAATAGTTTCAACACTTTTATCTGGAATCGACCAAAGCTATTTGAGGTTGTATCGACTCTGAAGTGGTTCTAGGCTAGTTTTCCGGGTAATGCCCCCGAGTGAATTCCGTTTCTCTGGTACTCATAGTACAAGAAGTTCCCTGGTTTGACACCAGACCATTAGAGCGATTGTCTGGCAGATTATTACTATTACAATTTCTTTGAATTGAAAATATATGATTATACTTTTTTAATTTAAAAAAAAGACCTTAAAAATTTGCTTATCAGCCTTTTATTGGAATTACATCTATTTGCCAAGTTTTATTCGGATTCATCCCCTCGAAATCGGATTCATCCCCTAGTTTGTCGCCCTTGGAGATGGGACATTTTCTTCAAATTTAAATGAGATTAATATTTTTTTTATGAAATGTAAGTGCGCATTTGACCTCCGTCTCACCTGATGGAAAGTGACGATGAGGTCAACGATGGAGCATGCACACCTAAATAATGCCTATTCACTCTCGCTTTGAAGCGGTCCAAGTTATAACGTTCAGGGAACAAGTCTGCAGGCAGGGAATTCCACTCCATAGCCGTTCGCCATATAAATGTGGTAGAGCGTTACGCTTCCACATTTAGATGGCGAACTACCCTCGAGGTACCCTCGTTCCAATAAAAAAGATCATCAAAATCGATTCACAAATGCCGAGTTATCACGTAACACACACACAACACAAAATATGCAGTCAAATTGAGAACCTCCTCCTTTTTTTAAGTCGGTTAAAAATACAATCATTTACCACTAACCTGACACAACAAAAGTATTTAAAATATCAATTGCAAAATACATTTTTATTTAATTGAAATAAATACAAAAAATGTATTTTTATTCCAAATGCGTATTTCCCTTGCAAGTAATTCAATTACTGTCTAGCATTGACTTTCAAATAAATAGACGACGGGTCTAATACAAAAACCACGAAAAAAATGTCCCAAGTCAACCTATTTAAACGTAGTGACATGTAAAGGAATATGAAAAAGCTAAAACGTTGAATTGAAATTGTAATGTCATCGCAGTACTGTCTAATTTTGCTTGCTTCGCTGTCAGTCGAACAAACGAAGACTAAAGCGTGAATGACGCTCTGTATACGATTTTAACGCCCTATAAGTTCGGATAAATTTAGCGCGGACCCGACGTCCATATAATTGTAAGTCAATGCTGTCTAGCCTTAAACAAGGCGAGTGGGTTTCAGAATGTTTGAGATCTAAAATTTCACGCTTCAACCTTAGACGGTTCTTCATTAGTTAGTCTCTTGACATTTTATTCCCTTAATTAAACTCACCAATTAGGGAGCTAGCCGGTCGCACCTGATTGGTTACTTTCTGTGATAGTGACGTTTTATGACTTCGATTTATGAAACTTAGTTAATATTTAAAATCTATACTTTGCTTTTTTTTCAAATTTATTTTTCAAAGGCAATCACACTGTTATGCCACTCGCTTGTAACTTCGTAGGCATGCAATTCACGTTGTTAAGCTTGTATTGTTTAATTTATAACCAGAGACGAGGATCGGCAGAATGTTTACCTAAACTTCAAATAATATGTATTCAGTGGAAAATACCTCCCCCGAAACGAAATCCTGGGAAGGCAGAACAATCAAAATAATATAGCTACGTAAATAGCCTCTGGTAGATGTAAAGGTACCAGGCTAAGGAAAGGTACTTTCATAAGTTTCCTACAGGTGGCGCTGATGCACTTGTGAGGATAATAACATTATCAGAGTCTGTTTAACCGAAATTAGGAAGTATTTTAGTATGTTACATGTGTCCTACATTATATTACTTACTATACAGTATGGTTTTTTTTAAATTGGGACTTAATGAGGAAATCCGAAACCATAGGAGATACAGGGTAAAGCATAGTAAATTTTTTGGTCAAGCGCGAGTTCTCCATAAAAATGAATATAATTGATTAATATTTTTTAATGCTGATCGACTCAGTTTTATGTAAGAATCATTTCATTGTATTGGAAGAAAAAAATCAGGACAGCAGAAGTTGGTCAAATTTAATAAAATGTGTTTCATACAAAATCAAACGTACCAATGTTTCGGGCTTTTTACAAGTCTCCTCGTTACTGTGAATGGCCCGAAGCGTTGGTTTTTATGAAAAAACAAATACAGTACATTAAAACAGTATACTAAATTTCTTTAGAGATAAGGAAAATAATCGAATGGACAGTGGAGGAGTTCTTTAAAATTCTACGCAATGGAGTCATCGTATTAAGCTGGGTCACAAAAAGGCTTAAAACCGAGTACTCATTAGCGAGCTGTAACAGTAACGTGACAAATACTATAACGCGGTTCTAGTGTGTACGCTTGAAACACTCTTCAATCAGACGGCTCAATGCGGACCGCACGTGTTCCGCTCACGGAAAGCTCGCGAAATACGTACACACTATGATTTTTGGTTACGTAATATGCAACATGAAAAAGATGTGCAGTTTACGCGGCGGTTCAAGCTGAAGCGAAACGTGAAACCTCTTTTTCGCTTTTATTGCATCAACATAACGCTTTTTCTAACCGGCTCAAACTGATTCTGCGTTAATAAGTCTGGTGATTCCTTAATGCTCAGGCCACACAGAGGCGGTCGCGGGTGCGTGGATCGTGAATCGTGAATCAGGAGGGGCAAACCCGGGGCGGGTGCGGGCGTGCGAATTGTATTCCATTGAGTTCTATGCAACCGTCCACACAGAGCGGTAGCAGCGGGTGCGGGAGCGGGGCTTTGGGCAGGACTTTAGCGGGCTTTGACGTTGTACTTTTTTACAACTCTAGAGTTTGTTTTTATTAAGTTCCAATATATTTTCGATCCATTTTTTTTATTGCTTGCGGAAGCAATAAAAGCAGATAATTTTCTCGATCATTATCCGAAAGCGATGTGGTTTATTTTTTTAAATCTGTGTGGAAAATGAAACGTGGCCGCTTTTGGTGTCCCACTGGCTGCCTTCGGGCCGCTATTCCGCCGCGACCTACGCTTGGAACTACTGTGACGTACCCGGACCGCTTCTCCCGCTGTACCGCCTCTGTGTGGTTGAGTTTAAGGGTAAAGGTGATCAACCAGATTTGGCTTGTCAGTCTTCATATTGTTTACTCCAACAGACTTCCTCGCCGGACGACAGCCCGTCGTCCGAGACTTCAACGGAGTGTCTGATGCATTTGTTGCAGCAGTGCGACCCGAAGACCGCCACTAGCATCAAGGAGACCGTTGAGCGACACGTGAGTGTACAACAGAGGTTCCCAAATTTTTTTCTCCTAGACGACCTGTTAATTTCTCTTTTCGGGTTGACAACCTAGTAGAGCCTTTCTACTATAAAATTTTCACAAATTCATCAAATTCGAGTTTTGGACAGTTGACATTCTTTTTTATTCAAAAATATGGTAAAAGTATATGGTACTTGAGGTACATCTTTAAGTCCAAGTTGTATGGAAGAAAAATAGATTAAACTAGACAATGATAGCATTGTTGTTTTGTATCCACAGAAAAAAGAACTAACCGACCTAGAAGAAGAGCTACAAAGTCGAATGGCTTCTGTTGCTTCGCACCGCGTTAAAATTGAAAGACTGCAGGCCGAGCTGGCGTTGTTGGGAGCACAGGATCTGGGCTTAAAACATGCGCTGGCATCGGATTTAAGCCCGGGGAACTCTAAGGGTGAGTTTGAAAACAATTTACTGTCACCAGCATTACAGAACAATCTGGATTTAATTAGCTTGTACTAATTTTTCTTGTTGATTATGGTCTTGAGGTTATGTCGAATCAAGCTCAGTATAGTTCGATGATTTTTTTTATGATACTAAGAGTCGTATTCCAGAAGTCTACTCAATACTCAAGTCAGGACTTGAGTATTGCAGTGAGCACTGAAAATCATACTCAAGTCCTTGCCATTAGGGTCGTGTTTCCAGTGCTTGAAATCATACTCAAGTCTGCTCAAATCCTGACTTCAGCATTGAGTAGAGTTCTAGAATACGACCCTGAGTGCCGGGACCCACCCATGTTCATTGCATTTATAGTGCCACCCAGAGCTTTAAATCGCAAAAATCTGAGGGCCCGTAACCCTGCGACATAGTTGGCCAGTCCCATGTGCTTGTAATTTCAACAGTAGACTTACCTTACTTACGTATTGGCACAGTATATTAGGAGTAGAACTCCTCGTGAGTTCGTCCGGGGAAGTATTGCCACATTGCCTATTTCTGCCGCGTAATGTGAGTACTACTGCGTTTCGGTTTTGAGGGGTAAGGGTGCTGGTGAAATTGCAGGCACATGTGACTTGTCAATTTGTGTCACAGGGGTAACGGGCTCAGTGACAGTGTCACTCAGATATTTGCAATTTAAATATCTGTGTGGCACTGCAATTGCTACGGACAGGCGTGTCGCTTACCACCCGGCGCAGTGCAATTGTCTGGTATGTTTATTTTAAATTAATGCTTGTTTTAGGAGACAGCGATAGCCCGCCAATGGAGGGCGTGAAGCGCAGCAAATCTGAACTAGTGCTACGAAGAACGCCGCGTGAGGAGGTGCTGGAACCATTATCTGCTGACGAACGCGAGGAGTACCGCAAGAAGAGAATGAGGTTGGTCTGCAATTACATTGAGCCACTACAGCGCGCCTTAGCTTTACAAAATCTACCTAAGAGCGGTTACATACGGCTTTAGAACGTTAGAACGCGATAAAGTCAGGATGCAGTCGCTAATTGTCTACCGCTACACACGCGCGCGATTTAAGCAGCAATGTAAACGCGATCCGAACGTGATGCAAACACGATACATATGCAATGCAAACGCGGTGCATTATTTAATGAATTAAATAATTTATAATTTATTTATTTCACTTTTAAACTTACAAGTAACAAAACAAGACAATGTGCATAAATCTGTACAGATTGTTTGCACATAGTCATTCAACATAAACGACTGTATCGATGCAGCCGCGCATTCGCATCGATGTAGTCACCCATTTGTATCGATGCAGTTGAGTGTTTGCATCGATGCAATCGCCTATAAATCGCAAGTGTAGCGATCTGCCGTCCACTAATTAAAACGTGGCTAAGTGACAAATGGTCAAATATACCTTTTAAATCATTGACTTACAATTATATGGACGTCGGGTCCGCGCCAAAAAGTGTCCGCACTTGTAAGGCGCTAAAATCGTATACAGAGCGCGACACTCCGCTTTAGTCTTCATTTGTTCTACGGACAGCGCGATACTGCGATGACATAACAATTTAAATTTCGAATAGGTTGACTTGGGACATTTTTTTCGTGGTTTTTGTATTAGACCCGTCGTCCATTTATTTGTAAGTCAATGGTGAGAGCATTAATCTCTGACGACCATTTAATTTTAAATTTACCACGAGCTTTTCGGTAAAGAAAACATCTTGAAGAAACCTGCACACATCTGCACAAGCAATATAATGATATGTGTATGTGATATGTTTAACTGCCTCCGTGGCCGAACGGTTACCGTGCCGTACTGCCACGCAGAGGTCCCAGGTTCGATTCCCGGGCCGGGAGAAATATTTGTATGGCCTACAATTATTTATCTCGTGAGTTTGGGTGTAATTTGTGGTTGTCTTTGTGTGTGTCCATGGTACCCGCGACACAGGGTTTCCCTAGTGCGGGGCTATGTTGAGTGTGTGCGTTATTTATAAAAAAAAATTATATGTGTGAAGTTCTCAATCCGCATTGGAACGATAAAGCTCTGAACGGCGCTGCAACTGTTATATACAGGCGCGTCGCTTACCACCAGGTGCATGACTTGTTCGTCCTATTACTTCGTAGAACAGAATAGAATAGAATGCGTTTATTTGTCAGTTTACAGTAATTACATAGGTCTAAGTAAAATTAGGTACATTGTATTTAACCTGCAAGCAGATGTGCAAATATTAATGGGATTTAAATCCCAGATTTAGGGTCGTATTCTAGAACTCTACTCAATGCTCAAGTCAGGATTTAAGTATGGTTTAAAACACTCGAAATCATACTCAAGTCCCTGCCATTAGGGTCGTATTTCCAGTGCTTGTGTTGCCAGTGCAATCCTGACTTGAGCATTGAATAGAGTTCTAGAATACGACCCATAGTCTCTTCAAATTAATGTAATGAATTTGTAAATTTCAAGCATTCTTTATTACTATAGAAACAATGTGTCAAAAGCCATTTTCCCAATTGTAATTTAAAAGTATGTCCTTGTAAGGTAATTTATTGGAAATAATTATACACATGTTGAAGCAGTTATTCTTATAAATTACTTTATGGCAACGAGGTTGGTATTATATATATTAAGAGATTCATAATTTTTGCTCTAGTTTGCCTTTGAATGACTTCACCGCGTGTTTTAAAATATTGAGGATGAGAGTATCTTAAAAAAGAAGCAAATTATTTGCTAGTTTTATCCGCTGTGATCTTTTTCGATTGACGCGAAGTGTCAATGTTAATTGAAAATACTTGCTCTGACTTTACCAGTTAACTATTTTAATGAGATAATCTCGTTTTCCAGCCTTAGCCTCAGCCTGGACCCTCTGGCATCTCCTTCCACGGTGGCTGAGGACACCTTCCACACAGCCACCTCATCACCTCCCGCCCTCCCATCCGAGTCCACGTTACCCACGCCGTCCACTACCGAGCAGGAGCTGTCCAAAGAGGAGCCGCTGCCCACACCACAGTTCAGATTAGGACCCGTGCCTGTCGACAGCGATGACATGTCCAGTACCGAGGATTATCATAGGGTAAGACCATTGTCATCATCTTAGTCGAAACACGTCCACTGCAGAACACAGGATTCCCCCGGAAATCGCCGCAACGACCGGTCTTACGCTGCTCGCATTTAGCTGTTTCGCTTGACCATCGGTACACGTAAATAGTTAGTGTTAATTCTCCATAGTTTTCCGCTTCCATATTCCTGCGCAATTATGTGTATGTTTTCATTACATAACTTCTTTAGAGTGGAATTCACTGCGCACCGCTACCTAGAAATCCCCAAAAAAATTAATTTACTCTGTCCCACTGGAAGTCAAACTCGGAACCTTCTCATCAAGCGCCCACAGTGCACACCGTTGGGCCACTGAGGTATTAATGGGCTTATGATAATATACTGTTCGATTATGGAATATCCTATTGACATTACTTCGATATTACGTCGCTAGATGGTATTTGATCATTTTTTTATTTATGTCTAAATGATGGTGTACAAATTTTCCCGTTGACCTACGTAAGCATGTTTTTGTGACGTCAGTTAGTAGTCCTCAGTTGACTAATGTAATTGACATACAATGTGTTGATTTGCATTCTCGCCATGTTTACAGAGGTCATTCTATATCCGAAACTGAACCCAAATCACTAAAAAAGTAAATAAATTTAGAAAAATCCTAAATTCCTTTTTTTTATTTAATTGCGGTAACCAATTTTCAGCCAAAGGTCATTGACTTCACTACACGTGGCACAGGTACCGGCAACCATTTGAACAATGACCTATGCGCAGTATGCGTAGAAAATATGCATTTTAGATCTATTTGGTGGCAGGGTACGAATAGAGACGGGGGAGTATCGTTTCGAGCGCGTGATTTGAAGATCATCAGTCCACCTCGAATATTGCGTCTGCGTTCATAGCGCACACGTTCTAGTTTCTCACGAAATGCAACGTGGTTTGTGTGTGATGTAAACAAGAGTTAGTGCAAAAAAAAACCGCTACCATGTGCATTACCAAAAAATGCGATCTTATGGCATGATGTGAAACGTTTAGTTTACGCAGATTACGAGTGTCGAATGCAAATCAACACCCTGTATAAACAAAAGCAGGTGCAAATTTAAAAGACTTTGTTTTACAGCCACGAATAGTGGAAGGCCAATCATCAAGTTCAATAGAGCGGTCACCCGAAGAGCGACATCAGAGAGCAAAATACAGAAGAAGAATGGCAGGTGATGGCAAAACAGGCAGGAGACAAGTTACAGAAGCCGAAGCATTGCGAGCGATGCAGCGGCTATGCTCGAGAATCGCCTCTCAAAAGATGCTCGTCATATCTTCGCTCGAGAACGATTGCTCGAAAGAGGAACTTAACAGGCAAATTGCGGTAAATGATATTCCCTAAGTTTTCGGTTCTTCAAACTCAAGTAGTCTCTATTTATATATACAGGCCGCGAAAGGGGCTATATTCTAAACAATATTAAATAATAATCAAGGGCCCGAAACGTTCGTTGGTTTGTTTGAAAAAGCAAATACATGCGAATTAGATCCGAAAAAATAGTTTCATTTCCTATGTGTAACTATAGTGAAAACCTAAGAACTCGATATGGTATTAGTCAACAAACAGTCGTATCTAATATTAATGTAAACCAGCCTGTTCTAGATAATAAAAAACAAATAATCACGATTAGATCTTACCAGAGAAAAAATTGTATCATTACCCATGTACAACATGTTTGTCAGTTCAACCATTACTTTTTACTTCCGTATTAGAAAATGAAACTATTTTTCCGGATTTAAATCGCGTATATTTGTTTGGTTGACAACCGTGACCATGGGACCTGTAAAGGGCCCGAAACGTTGGTTTGTTTGAAAAAACAAATATACGCGAATTAAATCCGGAAAAATAGTTTCATTTCCTATGTGTAACAATCGCGAAAACCTAAGAACTCGTTCCGTATTAGAGTAACACGTGAAACAGACAATAAAAAAAATGTCACAGGTCCTCCAAGAACTCCAGAAGAAGTACGTTCGGTTAGAAATGGCTCTCCAGTACTCGTTCTTCGACAACCAGAACAACCGTCGTTCGATGATGGTGACACCTATCCAGGAGACGCCCTCGCTGACACTGTCGGAGAGTGACATGCAGGTTGCAACGGAGCCCGAAAATGGCGAGAACGGCAATGGACTCGTACAGGATCCACTTATCAGCAGGTTGTTGATTTATTACTGACTTTATTAGATATTAATGTCATAGTTATATGCTGCCACTGAGATTCGAACCGTTGACCTCGGAGTTGAGAAACAATCGTATGATGAGAAAAAAAGGACATAAATAGTCATTATCATAATTAGAGTTTTGGCAGTTAGATATACAATATTTATTTAAAACAGGTTAAAAGAACAAGAAATAGAAGCGTCAGATAACGTGTCAACATCCAACGACGAGCTACCATCAGAACACCAAGAGATATGGGACGACCCGCTACGTCGGCGGTCGTCTTCTGACAGCTCGACGCAGTTGGAACGACCGCC